TTCTTTGGAATAGGTACAAATATGGATCTCTTCCACTCATTTGGGCAGGTAGCTGTCTTCCAAATTTCTTGTCATAGCTGAGTGAGTCCTCTAGCGTGGTATCCGTTTGTTCAAACATCTCAGTGGGTATTCTGTCAATTCCTGGACCCTTATTCTTTGCCAATTCCTTCAGTGTAGCTTTGGCTTCTTCCTTCAATACCATTGGTTCTTGATCATATGCCCCCTCCTGAAATAGATGAACATCGACCAATTTTTTTGGTGTTTCCTACATCATTCAGTATTTTGCACATGTTGTTTTGTTGTTATGTGCTGTCGAGTGAATATTGCAACTCAAAGCTTGAATTTTTTTCTTCAGTTCTTTCAACTTGAGAAAATGCCAAGCATGTTCTTCCTTTTTGGTTTTCTAACTCCAGATCTCTGCATGTTTCATTATAATAATTGACTTTGTCTTCTTGAGTGGCTCAGAAATCTTCTGTTCAGCTCTATTATTTTGTTATTTCTTTCATTTGCTTTAGCTACTCTCCGTTAAAGAGCAAGTTTCAGAGTCTCTTCTGACATCCATTTTGGTCTTTAATTCCTTTCTTGTCTTTTTAATGACCTTTGGCTTCATTCATGGATGATATTCTTGATGTCATCGCATTAATTCATCTGGTTTTCAGTCATTGGTGTTGAATGTGTCAAATCTATTCTTCAGATGGTCTCTGAATTCAGGTAAAATACATTCAAGGTTATATTTAGCTCTTGTGGACTTGTTTTAATTGTCTTCAACTTCAACTTGAACTGTTGATGGTCTGTTCCCACAGTCAGTTCCTAGCCTTATTTTGGCTGAAGATACTGAGCTTCTCCATCGCCTCTTTCCACAGATATAGTCAATCTGACTCCTGTGTATTCCATTTGGTGAGGTCCACGCTGCCATTTATTTTGTTGAAAAAAAGTATTTGTGATGAATAAGTCGTTGGTCTTGCAAAATTCTATCATGTGATCTCTGGTGTCATTTCTATCACCAAGGCCATATTTTTCAACCACCAGTGATTCTTCTTTGTTTCCAGCTTTTGCATTCCAGTCACCAGTAATAATCAATACATCTTGATTGCATGTTTGGTCAACTTCAGACTGCAGAAGTTGGTAAAAATCTTCGATTTCCTCATCTTTTGCTTTGGTGGTTAGTGCATAAATTTGAATAATAGTAGTATTAACTTGTCTTCCTTATTGATGTATGAATATTATCCTATCGCTGACAACATTGTACTTCAGGATAGATCTTGAAACATTCTTTGTGATGATGAATGTCATGCCATTCCTCTTCTATTTGTTATTCCCATGATAGTAGATCATTTGGTTGTCTGATTCAAAATAGCCAAAACCAGTCCATTTCAGCTCACTAATGCCTAGGATATTGATCTTTGGTTCCATTTCATTTTTGACAACTTCCAATTTTCCTAGATTCATATTTCATACATTCCATGTTCCTATTATTAATGGTTGTTGGCAGCTGTTTCTTCCCATTTTGAGTCATTCCACATCAGCAGATGGAGATCCCGAAAGCTTTATTCCATCCACACCATTAAAGTTGACTCTCAACTCTACTTTGAGGAGGCAGCTCTTCCCCAGTCGTATTGTGAGTGTCTTCCGACCTGAGTGGCTTTTCTTCTAGCACTATATAAGACAATGTTTCAGGGCTATTCATAAAACTTTCCAATAATGTATCAGATAGTGTTTCACTACTATTCATAAGGTTTTCACTGGCCAGTTCTTTAAGAAGTGGGTAGCCCCTTCCTTCTTCTTAGTCTAGAAGTTCTGCTGAAACCTGTCTACCATGGGTGACCTTGCTGGTATTTGAAATACCGGTGGCATAGTGTCCAGCCTCACAGCAACACGCAAGCCACCATACTATGACAAACTTACAAAGCCACCATACTATGACAAACTTACAGACAAGTGATGAATATGAGGCGACTGAAAATACTGTGGCTTAATTCAGGTGCACCTTAGTTCTCAAAGTGATATCTTTGCTTTTTAACACTTTAAAGAGATCTTGTGCAGCAGACTTGCCCAAATGCAATACATTGTTTGATTTCATAACTGCTGCTTCTTGTTTCAGTTAGTTCTTAAATAATTACAAACTCTGGTTAAAATGAGCCTTTAACTTAGCAATTACAATGTATTCTAGATAGGCTCTTTGTGTTATAAAAAATAAAGACTGAACTGTTGTTGTGTGCCATTGAGTTGATTCAAAGTCATAGCAACTTCATGTGACAACAGAATTGGGCCATAGGGCTCTCTAGTTTGTAATCTTTAAGAGAACAGATTGCTAGGTCTTTTCTTCCGCAGAGTTACTGGTAGGTTTGAACCACCTACCTTTTAGTTAGCCCCCAAGTGCTTAACCATTGTGCTCCCTGGGCTCGTAAAGATTGCAGTAAGGCCACAAATTTGAAATTCTGATCTGGCTTTCTTTTCCTCCAAGGAAAAAGACTCACCAAGTTGAAGTTATCTGAAGGGAAGTGTGTGATGGAGACGGGGCAACTTATTCCTCAATACCTCACCATAGCCTCTCTCCTACCATACTTTTAAGGAACCCTGGTGGAGCAAAGGTAAAGTGGTCAGCTGTTAACCAAAAGGTTGATGATTGAAACTCACCCAATAGCCACATAAGAAAAAAACTTGGTGAATCTACTTTTGTAAGGATTACAGTCAGGAAAACCCTATGAGGCAGTTCTTCTCTGTCACATGGGGTTGTTGTGAGTTGGAATTGACTGGATGGTATCCAGCAACAACAGCACCATACCTTTGGTTCATCTATCCATCATTGGATCCATCTGTCTAGAATACATTGTAATTGCTAAGTTAAAGGCTCATTTTAACCAGAGTTTGTAATTATTTAAGAACTAACTGAAACAAGAAGCAGCAGTTATGAAATCAAACAATGTATTGCATTTGGGCAAGTCTGCTGCACAAGATCTCTTTAAAGTGTTAAAAAGCAAAGATATCACTTTGAGAACTAAGGTGCACCTGAATTAAGCCACAGTATTTTCAGTCGCCTCATAGCCTTGACTGTATCCCTTGGCTTCCTTTTATGCTTGGCTTCTGCTGCTGCCTAATTATTTCTCCATTTTCCAAGTTAGAGTCCCAAGAGAGGGAGCCTAATTGGTCCAGATTATTTTTCCTTATTCTGGGCCACTTAATAGATATGTGTTCAAGCAGTTATATGGTCCACTCATCAGTGACTCAAGGTCAGGTGGCCAGGGACTTAGGGGAATGACTAGCAAAGACCCACAGAAAGGGTGGGTATAGAATACTGGTATGCAAAATGTGTGTGTACCTTCAAGTGATACCCCAAGCAAGGCAGTTTTCCTTAGGTTTGGGATGTGGCAAGCTTAGACTTAGGGTGTGGTAGACATTGTAGTAGATGTAGTTATAAAATAAAATGTTGATACTCATTTTCTTCTCCCAGAAACTACTGACTATGAACCATCTTCCATTATGGCTCTTTTATTGTCTAGCCCACTCCTAAATAAATCCATGACTAGTTAGTGATGTGAATGTATGGAGAAGGATATTTTGCCTAAATATTTAGAACAGAGAGGGCCCCAGGGCATTTGACAACAGAGGATAAGACTCAGATTAGTAGGAAGTGGTTATCAGAAGTCATTTACTATATCCCCTGCTGCTGCATATCATACCAACGTAATACCTTTCAAATAGACAACAGTTTATCCTCTAGTACTTACTTTAGTCTAGTCTGTTCCAGAGCCAACAGTTCCCAAGGCTAGTTTTTCATTTTTTTCCAGATGGGCTGCATAGTATCAGTCCTTTCGTGGTCATCCTGATACTTGATTTACATGATGCTTAATTTTGCTATTTTTAGTCTATGTCAAAAATCCCCTTTGTAAGAAGGCTGAATGATATTTTTCTTTCCTTCACTCAAAGAAATTGGCACCAAAAAGTGACATGCTCTTACTGCTTAGTGTTTGTTCACTCTGACTGATTTATTTGGCTTGTTGTCTTCCATTTTTTGGGGTTCCTTAAATCCTGATTGTCATTTTTTCCTATTGAGAGACTGGGTTTAGATTTGTTTTTCATCACATGACTAGAGGAACTAAGCTTTTGTTAGCTTTCTTCTATAAGAACTGGCTCCTTGTGGGAGAACAATATGGAACAAAACTCAGAATCCTAAAAAAAGACCAGGTTTGCTGGTCTGATACAGCCTGGTAAGACCCCCAAGACTATGGCCCCTTCAGTCTGGAATTGAACTCACTCCTGTGGCTTCTAGCCAAACAATGTTGCTGTGATGTGCTGTCGAGTCTAACCCAACTCATAGCGACCCCTCCTTGGGTTTCAGAGGCTATATTACTACGGAAGTAGATTGCCAAACCTTCCTTCCAAGGAGTGGCTGGTGAGTTTGAACAGCCAGCCTTCTGGTTACCAGTCAAGTGCCTTAGGCACTACGCTACCAGAGCTCCCTAGCCAAACAATAGACAGGTATATAGGATGAACATTTATACCAGGTCGGTACACTCCTTAGAACAATCAACCTTAGGAGAGAAGGACACACAGAGAAAAGGTAACCACAGAAAGGAAGTGGGAAGAGAGCTGTTAACGTTGCAGGGAATTGCAGTCAATGTCATAAAACAAAATGTATATGAACTGCTCTATGGAAAATGAATTTGCTCTCTAAACTTTCACTGAAATCACAATTAAAAAAAGAGAAGTGGTTCATCTAAGGCAGTCATCCGGAGGTCTTAGTTTGGCTAGAGTTAAAACACCTTGGGGAGATGAAACAGTCTGAGGAGAAAGATGTCAGTGGGAGCTTTGCTTCTCAAACTTGAGTGTTCTTAGGAATCACCTAAGCATCATATTAAAATGAGGATTTTAATTCAGTAGGTCTGGGGTGGGGCTTAACATCTGGGATTCTGCATTTCTAACAAACCCCCAGGAGATGTGGATGGCGCTGCTCTGCAGACAAGCTTTCATAGGAAGAACTTTTTGATATTCCCATACAGTCATCTCTGAATAGAAGCTACCTGTATCGCTCCCCTTCGATGCCAGAGAATTTAAACAGGGCAAGACTAAACCAGTTGGTAGAATTCAAAGACAACCGAATACCAGATAAGGTAAAAAAAATAAAAAAAGGTATCGTTCCACCCATAATGTGCTTGGGAATATAAGAACTTTTTTAAGATAAGAGTTTGTTAATCTTCTATCTCATTGTCTTCTCTGTCTTTCCAGGATGGGGCTTGCTTTAGTACATCTTTTTATTCTTCATTATTTTATTTTTTCCTTTATATCTGTGTTCTTTCCATCTTTTGTTTTGCTTTTTCTATGTCTGCATCCTTATATAGAATATTTAATATTAAATAACTGTTGTTATTTAACTGCTTTTGAAAATTATGTCTTATTTTCTTTCCAACCCTTTTTTGTTTTTAAATTTTTATTGTCATTTGGGTAAAAGTTTACAGAGCAAATTCATTTCCATACAGCAGTTCGTACACATTTTGTCTCATGACATTGACTGCAATCCCTACAATGTAACAGCTCTCTTCCCACTTCCTCCCTGTAGCTACCTCTTCTTGTGTCCTTCCTTCCCATGCGCTCCCACCCCCTGAGCTGTCTCTCTGCAAACACTGCCCTTCTGTTCTCCCATGATTAATCACTGCAAGTAGTGTATTTACCTGATGTAAATGTTCAGCCCATATGCCTGTCTGTTATTTGGCTGTAAGTCACAGGCGTGAGTTCAATATCAGACCTGAAGGGCCTTGGGTCCATAGTTCCAGGGGTCTCACCAGGCTCTATCAGACCAGCAAACCTGGTCTTTTTTTTTATGATTCTGAGTTTTGTTCCACATTGTTCTCCCACTCTACCCAGGATCTCCTACACCAATCCCCCTCCAAGTGTTTGACAGTGGTAGTTCTTCTGGTCTCGTGGTCATACAGGCTGAGGATCACATGGTTTACCAATTTACCAGTCTCTTGGACTAATTGTTTCCATGTGTCTTTGGTTTTCTTCATTATTCTTTGTTCTGGATGAGGAGAGACCTGTCGATGCATCTAGAAGGCCACTTACAAGCTTTCAAGATCCCAGTTGCTACTCACCAAAGTAGGATGTGGAACAATATTTTTGTGTAGAATGTTATGGCAATTGAGCTTGATGTCCCCTGCAACCATGTCCTGAGCCCACAGGTCTAAGTGCTCGCTCCCTCCGGGTAGCTGGCTGTGGCCAAGAAGTCATCCAACTCTTTTTTTTAAGGCCTGAGAAGGATGCAAGGAATCTTTGGTAAAGATACTTATAGCAGATTTATGTGCAGTCTGAAACATCATCATTCAGCTGACTGGTTTAGTTGAAAGTGACTTCTGAAAATCTTAGCTTTCATCCCTTCCCTCGCCCTTAAAAAAATCTGAATATCTTTACTAACATATAATGTTTAGAAAAACAGAAAAAAAAATAAAAAAAATAACCAAATGTAAAATATCCATAATCCCACAGGCTAGGGATAATTACTATTAACACTTGATATATATCGTCTTCCAGACATTTTTCTATGTAAATATTTTTTTTCTTTTACTAAAGTGGCATTACAAAGAATATAGTTTTCTAACCCATTTAATGATACTATATACTTATTTTCATGTCAATAAAATTTGGTTACAACATTTTTTTTATTATTACTATGTATGTAATATAATTTCTTTAACCAACACCCTGTTATTGATTATTTAATTTAAATAATTTTCCTCTGTTTCTAAAATACTGGAATATCTATCCTAATAGGCAAATATACCTGTCTTTGTTTCCTCAGGAGAACAAATGGAATGATTAAATCAAAACATATTTTTAATGAACTTCCACTCCCCTAATCCTATGGTTTTTAAATCTTTTAACATGACAGTTAAGGGTGTGGTCTTGTCATCTTCAGGCCTTGGGTCTAAAGAAGACAATCTCTCTCTGTGATGTAAGTGTTAATCAAATACTGGAGGAAGATTCTGACCAGGGGCATCTGATTGGTGATTTCTCCAAGGTGAGTTTGGTTATACTCATCCTACATTCCATGGAGCCATTTGGGGTCTGAGTCTTTTTTTCTCTGCATGTTGAGGATACTGGGTATAATTATGTATCCTCACCAAGTAGACTTTGATAACCTGTGGTATTCTAATGGTAGTTCTAGGTGCTAAGCCTTTCCAGTGAGAAGGTATTCCTTATTCATTATAAAATAATCCAAACTGTGGGGAAAGTTTAAGGCTTTTTATCTTTTATTTTTATTGTTGTTATTGTTATGTGCCATTGAGCCTCGATTCCGACTCATGGAGAGCCTGCATATAAAGAACCAAACACTGCCCAGTCATATGCCATCCTCCAAATCATTGCTATGTTTGAGCCCATTGTTGCAGACACTTTGTCAGTCCATCTTGTAGAGGATCTTCCTCTTTTTTGCTGACCCTCTTCTTTACCAAGCATGATGTCCTTCACCAGAGACTGTTCCCTCCTGATAACATGTCCAAAGTACCCAACATCCTTACTTCTAAGAACCATTCTCAATGTACTTCTTCTTCAAGACAAGATTTGTTTGTTTTTCTGGCTGCTGTTGTTGTTGTTGTTATTTGCTGTCGAATTAGACCTGACTCATAGTGACAGCTCATTGAGGGTATCGTTACGGAAGTAGATTGCCCAATCTTCCTTCCAAGGAGTGGCTGGTGGGTTTAAACTGCCAGCCTTCTGGTTAGCAGTCAAGTGCTGTAGGAACTGCACCACCAGAGCTCCTTGTTCTTCTGGCACTCCATGGTATATTCAGTGTTCTTCATTAATACCGTAATTCAAAGGCATCAGTCTTTGGTCTTCCTTATTCATTGTCCAGCTTTCACATGCGTATGAGGCAATTGAAAATACCTTGGATTGGGTCAAGCACACCTTAGTCCTCAAAGTGGTATCTTTGCTTTTTAACACTTAAAGAGGTCTTTTGCAGTAAATTTGCCCAATGCAGTGCATCCTTTAATTCTTTTCTTTTTTTAAATTTTATTGTTGTTGAGACTGTAGACAGCAAAACATACACCGATTCAACAATTTCTAGGTGTATAATTCAGTGATATTGATTATATTCTTTGGTAGTGCAGCTATTCTCACCCTCCTTTTCTGAGTTGTTTCTCCCCCATTAACATATACTCACTGCCCCCTAATCTTTCAACTTGCTGTTGTCACTTTGATCCCATATAGATAGTTCTTAAAAGAGTTGAATGCTCAAGGCAAATCTAATTGTACTAGTTAAGCTAAATTATTGCTTGGTTTTAAAAAGTCTTCAGGGAATATTTTTGGTTTAAGATTTAAAGATTATCTCAGGGCAGTGTCTCAGGGGTTCATCCAGCCTCCATGGCTCCAGAAAATCTAGAGTCCCTGAGAATTTGAAATTCTTTTCTGCATTTCCCCCCATTTGATCATAGATTCTATGTAAGATTCTATATAAGAATCTATGATCAAAGTGTTCAGTAATGGTAGCTGGGCTGTCACTTAATTTCATGACTGCTGCTTCCATGGGCATTGATTGTGGATCCAAGTAAAATGAAATCCTTGACAACTTCAATATTTCATTTTTATTAGTATCTTTTTAACATTATATAAATAATTCTTGGTCATTACAGAAAAAGTAGAAAATTAATTTACCTCAAATGCTATCAACCAAAGTAATTACTGCTTTTGACATCATTATGTATATTCTTCCAAACTTTTTTCTATGATTTTTGCACACCTACATGCATGCGCACACACACACATTTTTGTTTTTCCACAAAAATGGTTTATAGTCTTTTGTGATCTTTTTTTTTTTTTTTCTCTCTCTCTCTCATTTAATATTGTATTAGGAACATCTTTTCATGTCAGTAAACACTTCTGTTTCATTATTTTATCAATCTTAATAGCTATATAATATTTCATTTTTTAGCTGCTGGTAACTTAATAAATCCCTTGTAGGATTTTAGTTTTATACTTTTTCCCTATGAACTATACTGAGATGTATATATTGTAGCTAGATCTTAAACTCTGTGCACATCCTTAATTAGTTCCTTAGGATTAATTCTTAGAAATGGAATTGCTGCATATGTACATTATACTGATCATTGATTTTTTAAGATCTCTGGAGTTTTAAGAAGGAGCTCTGGTAATACGGCATTTGGCTGCTAAGCAGAATGTCAGCAGTTCAAACCCACCAGCTGCTCCATGGGAAGAAGATGAGGCAATCTACTTCTGTAAAGATTTACAGCCTTGGAAACCCAGTGGGGGTCACTAGGAGCTGAAATCAACTCGATGGCAGTGGATTTGGGTTTTAAGAGTCTTTTAGAAAGAAGGATGATACATGAGTCTTTAATCTCAAACTTGAGTGTGGAAAACTTGTTATTTCAGCTGTTGGGTATTTCTAGGTATGTGCACTGCCAACTGTGTCGGGGAGACACCAAGATTTGAAGTACGTCAACCCAGAAACGGTAAGCAGATTTTTGGAGATCGTAGCTGGTTACATAAGCTGCCATCTGGTCTGTTCTGTCCCTTAAATCCCTGATTCCATTTATATTTCTTTCCCTGTGCTCACTCACATAGTCTTATTTTTAAAAGTAAGGTGTGTTAAAGGAGTCCCTTCTCATTGTTCTTTCTTTCTTTGCTTTTAATTAAACAAATGACACTTATAAGAGAAATAAAAGAGAGAAAAGGAAATGAAAAACACAAACAGGAAAAAAACTTATAAAAATCACTCAATTTAGGGCAACCACATACCCTGGTTTGCATTATTACAATCCCTTTCATGTCAGTTAGCACATGGTAATTATTAATAGTGTTCACTCTCTTTAATATCCTGATCTATGAGTCATCACCTATTTTGGATACCTCTAGTGCTACTACTCTAACAGAAAAATACCACAAACGAGTTTTAACGAACAGGAGTTTATTCTCTTACGGTTTTAAGGCCTACTAAAACTGGAGGCTTTCTTCACTTGGGCAGCTGCTGGCTGCTGAGGCTGACAAATCCAAGGTCAACAAGTAAAAAGGCACAGTCCCAGTATTACCAAACCATATGGCAGGCCGTTGATTCAAGTCTGTTAAGAATCCCAAGATTGGCAGACAACATGGCAGGCTGCTGAAGGACAACTTGGCCACGTGCAGGATTCAAGTATGCCAAAACCTACAGACCATTCCCAAAGCTTCTCCTTATGTGCTAGAAACAGACCACATACCTGAAGCAGCTACTCAGCTGCTTATGGCAGATTCCACTATGGAGCTGATTGCCAGTCTCATCATAGGGAATAACTAAAACCAGCTGCCCAGCCATTCAAAATCAGGGCCAGCCAAGCTGACATATAACATTAACTACCACATCACCCTACCCGTAATCTTGCCACCAGAGATGTTGTTGTTGTTAGGTGCCATTGAGTCGTCTCCAACTCATAGCGACCCTGTGCACAGCAGAATGAAACACCGCCCAGTCCCACCCCAGCTCCACAGTCCTTACTACACTGAGCCCATCGCTGCAGCCACTATGTCAGTCCATCCTGTTGAGAGCCTTCCCCTCTTTCTTTGACCCTCCACCTTACCAAGCATGACATCCTTCTCCAGGGAATGGTCCCCTTCTGATAACATGACCAAAGTAGGTGAGACGAAGTCTGGCTATTCTCTCTTCCAAGGAGCATTCCAGCTGCACTTCCTCCAGGACAGATTTGTTAGTTCTTTTAGCAGTCTGTGGTACTTTCCACTTTCTTCACCAGCACCACAACTCAAAAGCATCAATTCTTCTTTGGTCTTTCTTATTCATTGTCCACCAGAGATAACCACTAGTAATATTTTCTCTAAGATCTTTCAGATTTTATGCTACCAAATGTTTTATAAAAAAACGAGATAATGTTGAATATGTAATATTGCAGCCAGCTTAATGTAAGGCATGTAAAACCAAAAACAATTTGCCATCAAATTGATTTCAATTCATGGCAACCCCATGTTTGTCATAGTAGAATTGTGCTCCATAGGCGTTCCAGTGGTTGATTTTTTAGAAGTAGATCACTGGTCCTTTCTTTCAAGGCATCTCTGGGTTGACTCTAACCACCAGCCTTTCATTAACAGCCAAGCACAGTTAAGTTCTTGCCACCCAGGTGTGCTAAGGTGTTGTAAATATCTTTATATTAATTAAAGAAAGTCATTCTACATTATTATTTTTTGAAAGCCCTGGTGGCGTAGTGTCTATGGCATTTGACTGCTAACCAGAAGGCTAGAAGTTCAAACCCACCAGCTACTCCTCAGAAGGAAGACTGGGCAATCTACTTCCATAGAGATACCACCTTGGAAACCCAAGGAGGGGTCACTATGAGTTGGATTCAAGTCAACGGCAGTGAGTTTGTTTTTTTGTTTTTTTTGTTTTTAAATATAACCATCTATATATGATCTAGGAGCTCTGGTAGCATAGTGGCTAAAGCACTTGACTGCTAACCAGAAGGCTGGCGGTTCAAACCCACCAGCCACTCCTCGGAAGGAAGGTTGGGCAATCCTACTTCCGTAGTGATACTGCCTCGGAAACCCAAGGAGGGGTCGCTATGAGTCGGGGCCGACTCGACGGCACATAACAACAACAACAACATATATGATCTACATTATATACTTAACCAAATCCTATTTTTGAACATTTAAATTGTTTCTAATGTTTTGATTTCCTAAAATATTGCTGAGAGGAATATTATTGTACCCACATCTTTGTGCACTTATCTATTTACTTAACATGTAGAAAAGAAATTGGTGAGTCAATGTGTATTTTTGTATGTATTTCCAAATCTCCCTCTGTATTAGTTATCTGTTTCTGCTATAATAGCAATACCACAAGTGTATGACTTTGACAAGCAAAAATATATTTTCTCTTGAGTTGTGGTAAATTATAGTCAATATCAATGAGACAAAATGTATATGAGCTGCTGTAGGAAAGTGAATTTGCTCTGTAAACTTTCACCCAAATCACAATTTAAAAAAAGAAGAAGGAAAAAAAAAAACCTTTCTCACTATTTGTTGTTGTTGTTATGTGATGTCGAGTTGGACCCGACTCATAGCGACCCCTCCTTGGGTTTCCGAGGCAATATCACTACGGAAGTAGATTGCTCCATCTTCCTTTAGGAAGGTAGAAGTTCAAATTCAGAGCACAACTTTATAAGGGAAGGCTTTCTTTCTGTGTCCTTGCCTTTCCAGCTTCTATTCTCTGGCTGGTAATCTTTATGTGGTATGGCTCTCTGCTTCTCTTGCTTGTTTTATCTCTCAAAAGAGATTGAATTAAGAATCACAGTAGGACAAATATAGTATTAGTTCATTATTGTAAAAAGTCAAGTAAAGGTTTATATATGGAAGGACACTTTCTTTGTTGGTTATGGGGGGGAGAAGAGGGGAGGGAACACTGCGAAAAAAAAATGCATTGACCCATGGCCCTTTAGTTTTGTGTATTTCACTGTACATAAATTATATTTCAATAAAATGTATTTTTAAAAAAAGAGATTGACTTAAGACACACACTGTCCTAATTCTGTGTCATTGACGTAACAAAGAAAGCCCATTCCCAATTGGGATCATAACCATAGGCATAGAGGTTTGGATTTACAACAAATTTTTGGGAGACACAGTTCAACCCATAATATCCTCAAGGAAGGTTGAACCAGTTTTCACTCCTGGAAGTAGCTTAAGTTCCCTCCTCTGGGTATCAACCTGTTCCTTCCATATTCTTTTCTGAAAGAATTGCTTTCTTCCTTTACAATGGAGGGTGGGGAACTGTTTCCTACTTCTTACAAAATTGAAATCTCTAGCTGCTATCTCTGCCATTACCAAAGTCTTTGGATTTCTCTTGAGACTGATTCTGGCCACGCCTACTTTCAGATGGGTAGCCTAAATATGGTCGTCTTTGGTGTCTTGGCAATACCTGCTGCTTTGGTTCTCCAAAAAGGCCACTCCCTATTTCATTCTCTTATGTGTGATGAGACTGAATTTTATTTCAAATAGAGAGAGACTGAAGCTGGGTATACAGTGGAATCCTGGGTGACTAAAGGGAGTATGTAGACAAGGAACTGTGTGAATGGAGTGAGAGCAAGCAGGGTATTCAATCACAGTTTCTGTGCAGGTGGCTGCCTTACTTTGGGGGAAGTTCCAGAGTCTGATTGAGAAGTTTTATATCATTGATTGCCGCTATCCATATGAATACCTAGGAGGACACATCCAGGTGAGTTTACATTGTGGACATTAGCAGGGGAAGAGATGGAGATAGTTCTTTAATGAGAAGACTTTGGACAAAAAGTCCTGTGAACTCTAGAACTAGAACAGAGATGATATATTTAGGGCACATCAGGTCTGCCAGCCTTCATTCCTGTTTTAATTATGTACACCTTGAGCAACTTACTTTCCTATTCCCTCTTAGACCAGTCTCCCTGTTTCGTATAGAAGTGATACCAAGGGCCCTGCCTAGAAATAAAAACATTAATCAATGTGCTGAGAATCACTTTTTAAACAGTGACTATTCATGGGCAGTTCAGGTCTCTGAACATTTATTGAACACTTACTACTTGGCCAAGCTCTATGCAAGACTCTCCCAGTAGATACAAAGACAAAATTAGGTCCCTGACCTGAAGGCACTTAAAATCAGCATCTAGGGCCCAAATATCCTAGGATGGTAGCTCAGTCTTTCTAACTTTTGGCAATATCCATAAGCCTTTGAGGAGTCACTGATTAAAATTCTTGTTCTACAGGGAGCCTTAAACTTACATAGCCAGGAAGAACTGCGAAACTTCTTTCTGAAGAAGCCCATTGTCCCTTTGGACACACAGAAAAGACTAATCATTGTGTTCCACTGTGAATTCTCCTCAGAAAGGGGCCCTCGAATGTGAGTTGTTTACACAGGTTAGGCTGGGTGATAGAAGTGGATCTTGAGTTGGTGCTTACCACTAGGAAACCTTCCCAGGCCAGTTTGGAGAGAGATGGAATAAATGAGAGAACTCATGCTCTCTCTTGCAGTCTGGAGTATCTTAGGGAGGTTGAAGGAAGGAGTTTCTACATTTTAAAAGTTTGGAACAGTAAAGGCAGATGGATTGGGAATGAGGTCCTAATGAAGGAAGGAAGAATGGTGTTACTTGGACCTTTTTACAAAAAAAAAAAAAACAGTGAGATCGGGAGGTCCTTTTTGGGTTAGTAATAGATTATTCCTCCTCCTCTTCCCGAGTGAGTGGTCCAGGGTACCCTTGCTTTGATTCTTTCCAGTCCATCCATCTCCAGGTTTTCTCTGAAGGTGCCGTTCTCTGAGAGAAGAGGACAGGACTTTGAACCAGTATCCTGCATTGTACTACCCAGAACTGTACATCCTCAGAGGGGGCTACAGAGACTTCTTTCCAGAATATATGGTAAAGTGTGGGGCAAGGACGGTGCCCAGACTTGGGAGAACCAATTTTAACATACTGTTCTTAAGCCTGCCAAGCTCTCTGAGAAGAAACTGCTGCTCCTTCTTAGCCGTCTCTGGTAGCACCTTTATTATACTTAGAAGGCAGAGCTCAGGAATCTGGAGAATCTCTTACTCTGTCCCCTAATCTTTCAGGAGCTGTGTGAACCACAAAGCTACTGCCCTATGCATCACCAAGACCATAAGGCTGAGCTGCTGAGGTGTCGAAGCCAGAGCAAAGCATGGGAAGGGGAGAGGCAGCTACGGGAACAGATTGCTCTCCTGGTGAAAGACAAAAGACCATGATAAGGGGCCAGCCACTGGACATTAAGGACTTAACCAAAAGATACCGTCCACACGCTGAGCAGAATTGAAGCCATCTTCTCTGTGGCCAGATTCTTAAAGACATCTGCAAACCAACAGACAGCCAAGCTAATGAAATCCCAGATCTCCAGATTGATTGGGATTCAGTAGAGCTCCCGGCTGGTGAATGAGTCCTGGAACTGGCTCTACAAGGCTGTAACCTTGGATTGAATGAAGATTTATATTGCTCTGGGAGCTGTTGCATTCCTCTTCCCAGCTAAACTAAGCCAGCCAGTTCTTTCTATCCTTGAGCTGTTGGCTGTGTAAGAGAGTTGTCCATCTTCTCTGTGTATTTTCCTTCTTTGTTTCTGTCTCACTTTCCTTTTCTTAAATGAGAGGATAAATGCATCAGAATGAGAGATGTAATTGTGACCCAACCCTCACCTAGAAGATCTGTACAAGGAAAAGTATTCACCACAGTAGACTCCTTCAAATATAGATGTGTAAGCATCTTTACTCATTGTTGAGACCAAGGTGCTTTTCTCTAGCCCTTGTTTTTCAAAGTGTGGACCCTGGACTTGTTTGACATGCAGATTCCCAGGCCCCACCCCAAACTTACTAAATCAGAAATTCTGAAGTTAGGTCCCAGAAACCTGCATTTAACAGATAAGAAAACTCCCTTTCAGGTAATTCTAATGCATGGTAAAGCTTGAGAACCACTGCCTTGTAATTTAAACTTTTTAAATGGCATTCTTCAGCAACAGCCCAGGCTGTTTCAAGACATTCCATAACGTGTTACCTATAGGTGTGCCCCAGACTCAGCACCATGTAGTATCTAGTCTCAGAAAACTGAGATAATAACATCCTCTAAGGCAGATGATTAAATCCTTGAGTGTGGTGCAAACAGTTAATGCACTTAGCTACTAACTAAAAATTGACAGTTGAGTCTTCACAGAGGCATCTAGGAGGAAAAACTTGGTGATCTACTTCTGAAAATCCAGCCACTGAACACCCTGAGGAGCACAGTTCTGTCTGTCACACTGGGGGTTGCCATGAGTCAGAATCACTTGACAGCAACTGGTTTACTGATAGCCCAAGACTGGAAAAGGAGCAAGGACTCAGAAGCTTAGGTGCAGATAGAATACGGGCAAAAATGACATCTTCCCCAGGTTTTGGAAAAAGACCTTTTTTAAATGAAAAGGAAGAAAAGAGGGCTGTAGTCCTAGGACAGCATACAGGTATGATTGAGTGGCTAGACTACTGATTTTTGCAAGGTTTGCACATGCTCTTCCTTGGAGTGCTGCATGCATGCCTCACAGCAGAGGGCACTGCTGTATTCTCTAAGCTAGCCAGCTGGAACTTGTAACCTCTACTCCCAGCTACTACTACTATGGCCTTGCTAAGCTCTTGAGCTCAGGAGAACTGCGGGGAAAAAAGGAAAAACTGCTGCTACATTAGGAAGAGATGGGTGAGAGAAAGATGCTGGCCTTCCTGGTGCTCCTCCATCCCACTCTCCCCCCAACACTTCCCCACTAAGCAGGAACTCTTAGTGTTTTAAGCAGGAAACTGTTAGAAGTACCTCTTCCAAATGCGAGGAAGGGTCCCCAAGTCTGCCTGCCTTATCAACCCATTTCCTGATAATTCTCTCCAAACTCCCACCTGGGCAGAGGTGACTGGAACACATGTTCACATTTCAGTAACCTTAAGTGGAAATTCTGAGTTGCAAAACAAAAGCTAGGGTTTAATTTGTTATCTGTCAGGTCCCTGGGTGGCACAAATTGTTTGAGCTTGACTACTAAAGGTTAGTGGTTTGAATCTACCCTGTGACATCGAGGAGAAAGACGTGGCTATCTGCTTCCATAAAGAATGCAACCAAGAAAACCCTATAGGGAAGTTCTACTCTGTAAACGGAGGGTTGACATGAGTCAGAATCAACACATTTTTAATTAGTTTGATTAATTGTGAAGAATTACATTTGCTTAAAATGTTTTCTCATTTCCTGTAATATCTTCCCACTATATATTTGATTCGTATTAATTTCATGAACAATAATACCAGCCCTTGCACTGGCTGGTATTCATTCATCATGAAATCATGTGGCAAAGAATGGAAATCTTTGTCTAAAAACTGCTTCTGGTTTTCAGTCTCAGACCCGAACCTGGTTGGCCTCCGCCATATAGAGTGGGAAATGTAGAGGATTCCCTTTCCCAATTTGATTGAGACAAACATTAAGGAAACATCAAGTCCTTTAAATGTACACATCTGAGATGTTAATTCTAAGTACCACAGGATTCAAATGTGAGCCCCTGCCCTCAAAAAACCAACGAGGTAGGAAGTGGTTCTCTTTGTTCTCATCTCAACAAGCACTCTAGTCCATAGTATATTCAGCAAAAGGAAGTACTGCACCCTCTACTTCCAAAGCCCAGGTGAGGGCTGGCCAAATTCACAGATTAATTAATGCCAGCATGCCACTGTTCACTACTTGATATGTGCCAGGCACTGTGCTAACCTCTACCCAATATATGCTTGTTTAATCCTCACAACTGTTTGATGAAGTGGATCTTATTACCCTAAATTTTATAGATGAAGAAACTGAAGCATAGGAAAACCAGTGACTTCCTTAAGGTCACCCAGCAAGTGTTGGAAATGGCATTTGAACCTAGGTGGTGTATAAAGCTTGTGCTCTTAACCACTGACTATAGTGCTAATCTCCTAGGGAAAGATAATGTTGTTGTTGTTATGTGCCGTCAAGTCGGACCCAACTCATGGTGACCCTTCCTTGGGTTTCCGAGGCAGTATCACTATGGAAGTAGATTGCCCAACCTTCCTTCCGAGAAGTGGCTGGTGGGTTTGAACCACCAGCCTTCTGGTTAGCAGTCAAGTGCCTTAGTTACTATGCCACCAGAGCTCCTGAGGGAAAGGTAATAGTGGGAATTAAAGCTCAACAGTGGGAGTGGGAGAAGGCTTAAAGAGAGTAGAATCCATATAGTCTGATCATAAGAGGAGAAAACCAAGATTATAAATGAAAGTAGAATCTTTGGGCCTTTCAGTCCCAATCAGTGCATTATAAGGCCCTACCATATGACAGGGTTTATGTCTTAATCAATTTTGCATGTGGCACAAAACTGGTCCCATAATCAGTCTCAAAAGGTTATTGAATTGAATGATAGCTGAGTGATACCATCTCTTAGAAAGGACTGACTCAATTGTCATTATCTGGAAGGTTCCCAATGGCAGTGGCTGCTTATCTAGCAGGTGTTGGCATCACAGGACATGGTTGGTAGAGGGTGTGCTGGAGGGGCTGTCAATATTAGTCTTGGAGTCATATTTATTTGCAGAGGCTTCCTTTTACCTCCCCTAGCCTTGGTTACCAATCCTCATTAAAGGCCTCGCAATGTCAGGCCTTCTACCTAGTGCTCAGACAGGAATATGCTCCAGGCATCCCCTTTCCTCTCATGAAAAGGCCAGCCTCTTATAAGTGGGATTGGGCATTGCTCCTAGCCCATTAGCTTCATCCTGTGCCTGTCTCCCAGGTATAGTCATGGGCATAGGATTGAGCAGACACTTTAAGGGCACCGTAAGCAAATGTCAGAGGAGCTCTGGTGGTGTAGTGGTTAAGGCATTTGGTTACTAATCAGAAGGTCAGTGGTTTGAACCCACCAGCTGCTCTGCAGAAGAAAGATTGGACAGTCTGCTTCCATAAAGATTTAGAGCCTTGGAAACCCCATGGGGATCTCTATGAGTTGGAATCAACTGGATCACAGTGAGTTTGGTTTTGACTTTTAAGCAAATGTCAAAAGAGTCCTGGTGGTGCAGTGGTTAGAGCACTTGGCTGCTACCTTGGTCAGCAAACCCACCAGCTGCTCTACCCAATAGGAGAAAGATGAGGCAGTCTGCTTGCATAAAGATTTACAACCTTGAAAACTGAGGCTGTGCTAGTCTGTTTTACAGAATCTCTCTGAGTTGGAATCTACTCACCGGCAGTAGGTTTGGTTTGTTTGGTTTTTGAGCAGTTATCCTTTCTCCTTTCCCATCCCATCCTCCTACCCCAAACTTGAATTTGCAGGGTTTCTGGCAGAGGGGGAAGGCAGAGGCTCAGCTCTTTCCTAGCATCCCAATCACCTGAAATTGTTATATATATTTTTTATTTTGTAAGTTCCTTTTTGAAGCTATTGCTAAAGTAGAGTGAAAAGTTGCTGCTGTCAGCTCCCCAGCTATATAAGTTTCCTAGACTTACTAGAGGAGGCTCTGGTAGTGTAGTGCCTAAGGCACTTGACTACTAACCAGAAGGCTGGCGGTTCAAAACCACCAGCCACTCCTCGGAAGGAAGGTTGGGAAGGAAGGTTGAGCAATCTACTTCTGTAGTGTTACCGGCCTCGGAAACCCGAGGAGGGGTTGCTATGAGTGGAGTCCGACTGACGGCTCATTAACAACAACAACAACAACAGGCTTACTAGAGGGAGGTCACAGGAAAGGTACATAGAGGAGGGTAGAGTTGTGGGAAAACAGTCCCTGCACAAAGGCTGAGTAGCCAGATGTTCACTTTCACAGCTCTTCTGTAAAGCTGGCAAGGGAGATATAGATTAAAACGAAACACAAACTCCATTTAAAGTGCATTACTGCTCAAGAACCAGTTCCCCCTGGGCAGGAGAAGGGAGAGAAGGGTACATCAGTCTCCTTCCTTATCTGGGGCCACATGTCTTTCTTCTAGCTTTGTGAAAGGTGATTTACACCCCTGGCTGGAATGACTCTCTTTCTGAGCTGATTACATCGGCAAATGCCCCCCAGAGGCCACAGCAGGATGGCCATATTCAGAAGCAGCAGCCAATAAATCTCAAAGGCTTGTACTTCGTTTCTCAATACCCTCCCTTCTGGCCCTCTTCCAGGTCCGATGTGGAAGTAAGGGGGGAGCCAGACTAGGGGCCTCATGGCATGATGCTCCACTTCTTTTCACCACCTTCTCTTTTTCTGGCACTGCTTCGTTCTCATCTTTCCAAATCATTCCCTCTCTATCTTTACCCAGAGAGCCAGTGAGAATCAGCCCCAGCCTCAATAAATACTTCTTTCCTTAAGGGTAGAAGCTGTGGGTCTGTTTAATCTTTGAGCACCCTGTGCTCTGCAACTCTTTCACCATCTGAAAATGATGAGGTCCCTAAATAGTCTCAGTAGTCACTTCCCTTCATGACCTTGTCTTTCATCCACGGAAGTTTCTGTTATTTAGTCTAAGGGGGGTTTAATCCTTCCATTCTCCCTCGTCACACTGAAGGGGCTGGATTTTGGAGCCAGTCTGGTAAGACTCTTGGGACCTGGCCCTAGGTTTTCTTCCAGCAAAATCGTTTCACCTGTCTAGGACTCCCCATTGCAGAGCCTTGGCATTAATGACAACCAAATCCTACCTAGTCTTGAAGATTCTTCTAAGGTGGAAAGAACACCGTAGACTTGTAAATTCCAAGGGCAAAAAGAAGAAAATTGCTACAATTACAAGCGCCCTTGTGCTGATTTGTTCAAGTTCTGTTACAGTATTTCAGTTGTGGTGATTTTTGTTTTGCTTTGTGTGTGTGTCCAGAAACTGAGAAGAGAGTGCTTTTTTGGAGAAATGCTTGGACCCCACTCTAAGGCAAGTCTCCAGCAGCAGCCTCCACATTCTCTTGGGCAGATTTCTTCCTCTAAAGTTCTCAGCAGACGCAGGTGATCAGACTTAGTGGAGCACCCGCTTTCGCACCGCGCCCCAGTCGCCCCTCGCACGCGGGCCCTTGTCCCCACCCTTGCACGCTTTCTTCGTTTAGAGGAGTGGCGCGGTGAGTCTGTTCGCTTCGGAGTTGGAGGGCGGCGCCCAGGACCCTGGAGGGAGAGAGTCGGCGGCGCCGCGTGAGGAGAGGCAGGAGGTGGTGGTGGGAGGAGGTGCCGGCCGAGGAAGCTCCGCTAGCAGAGCTCAAGCGCTAATCGTGAGCAGAGCGCAGCGCCGTGCGGACCCGGCGCCCGCACCCGCGCTATGGCATGCCCGCGGAGCCGACGACCGCTGCCGCCGGTGATCCTGCTCCTGCTGCTGCCGCTGCTGCTGCGAGCCGGTGAGTGTCGTCCGTGGGTACGCGGAGCCCGCGTGGGCCAGAACAGTACTGGAAGGTGGAGGTGAGCATGTAGGCGGGGCTGCCCAGAGAGAGCTCAGCACCCAGGTTCGGGTTCACTGGAGCAGCCGCCACTGGGTTCCGTGAGTCCGTCCACCCGAGCCTCGGAAACTGGAGAAGGAAGGCTGGGCGGCTGGAAGAGGCAGGGTCCCATGCTTTTACAGTGTCTGAACTGTTGCAGATTAAGTGCCAGCAATGGCCTGGGCACCCCCAGAATCTCCTCACTTACTAGTTCCCCTCTTCCCTCTTTGAGGTTGCCACAGGCACAGAACAACCCACAGCCAGGCCACTGCCAAAACAGTATCTGTAAGAGGCGGCAGATTCTGATCAGAAGCAGGACTGCTCTTTGCTCCACACGGGCTTCAGAAACTCACCTGTTTAAAAAACTGGGGAAGGAGAAACTAGTTCCAGATGAAGGAAAGAGGTTATGTTAAAAATGACTTTGCACAAATTAGGATTGTAAACTGCTGCCTGAGACTTGATAATATCATTTTCTTGTATTGTTGACACTATCGCTCACCACCAGCATTAGGCACCACCCCACCCCACTCCCTTCAGAGTATACTCATTATTTTTTTAATTGGACAGAAAACTGGTTATTGGGCAGGATGGCCTTTCTTCTGCAAACAGCCCGGTACCCACCTTGACCTATAATAGATCCACAATAGGTGTTTTGTGGAATATATAGTTCAGGGCACGTGATCAGAGCCATAACATTCCCCCAAGGAAAGTCAGCCTGGGATCTATGATCCCAAGGAACATGTCCATGGCCTTTGGAGTGGAATGGGTAACTCTGGAATCTCATTGTGGGGCTTCTGCCCAGAGCCTGGAGGGGAGGGAATTCTGAGGCAGAGATGGCACATGTTGGCCAGAGCCCTCAGTCCACAAGGTGGTAATACTGAGATACAATCCTAGCTGCCAGACACACTGGATGGAGGGAGAAAAGGACTGGGTCTGTCCAGATTGACTCCATCAGTAAATAAGTACCATGAGATATCACTCATCTGACTTGACTTGATGCCCAGAAAATTCCACTAATCCTAGCAATATGGCTGGTCATGTCAGGATCAGGGTAAATATTAAAACCCCATCCCCGTCACCAATTTAGTGAAGCAGGATGGGTGACAGGACTATTTTCCATAATAATTCTTGATAGCAGTGGTTTTTGGTTAAGTGGCCTTATTGAAAATCCCTAAAACAGTCATCTAGGAACTGCAATGTAGGGCCACTTGTTCCCCAAAAGCACAAACCAACAGAGGGTGTGAGCAATTGAGTAGAAAATACTTCGGCTCAGAGCCCACCAAAGCCAAGTATGAAAAACCCAACCAACCCACAAAATCTCATTGCCACTCAGTTCATTCTTTCTCATGTGAACCCCATGTGTTTTAGAGTAGAATTGTGCTCCATAGAGTGTTCAATGTCTCAGTGCCTAAGGCACTTGACTGCTAACCAGAAGGCTGGTGGTTCAAACCCACCAGCCACTTCTCAGAAGGAAGGTTGGGCAATCTACTTCTGTAGTGATACTGCCTTGGAAACCCACGGAGGGGTCGCTATGAGTTGGGTCCAACTTGACAGCACATAATAACACAACGACAACAATCTTCCAGAAGTAGATTGCTAGACCTTTCTTCCACAGCACTGCTTGGTGGATTTGAACTGCCAGCTTTCAGTTAGTAGGCAATGTTGCAAACTGTGGCACCCAGGGACCTGCCAAGCATAAAGGAGACCTCTAATTCACAGGGGAGTGGAATCATGTATTAAAAATCATTTTGGACTAAGTAGGAGGTAGGAGAACTGGGTTCTGGCCATGATTCAGTCTTTCTTACTACATTCCTTTGTGCGTGTTACTTTTCTTTGTTCATCCATCTATAAAATGGGGGCCTATGCTATAGGCCTTCTTGGGGAGCAACAAATGAGAGTCTGTACCCTGAAGCTTAGCTTGAGTTCTGACTTATTTGCAGCTACTTATTCTCTAATGAACCAAAAAGCAAAAACCCAACTCAGGAAGCCAGGTTTCTGACTAATCAATACGAAGTAAAGACATGGTAGTGATAGTGTAAATGAGGAGGTAGGGTAGGAGAGTGATGGGGGGACTGTGACAAACCAGAAAACACCTGTCAAAAAGGGAAGTCATTATTCAACTCCAGCTGTTACATTGTGGAGATGTGGTCCCAGTGTTGCCGTTTTTCAAGAGAAGTTGGAAATCAATAATTTCATGTGAAAGACAATTTTTAAATGTTGGCAATTAATTATAATTATTAATTACAAAAAATGCAAAATGCAAAAAAAAAGAAGGAAGAAGGAAAAAAAATACTCTGTAGACTGAAGGAAACACATTTGTACACTGGATTAATTTGTGACCTTTGCCTTAGAAAGCCATGTTTCACAATCCAGGAAACATAAGTTCTATCCTGTTCTAATGAAATACCCCAAGTTCTTTTGTTGACCTGGAATGCCCCTAAGTCCACCACTGCTCAACTTTGGTGAACGATCATGTAAAAGATGAGAGATTTTCTTTTGAAAGTTGTTGTTGTTGTTGTTGTTATGTGCTGTCGAGTCAGACCCGACTCATAGCGACTCCTTCTTGGGTTGCCGAGGCAGTATTACTTACACCTCAATATTTAGTCCACTGAAAGCAATAAGACTTGGACCTGTTACTTTATATTCAGCAAGCATTTATTTGGTACCTACCTGAAGTAAGAAGATCTTAAACTTTCAGTATTTTTCAATCAGTTTCTATCCATCCATCTCTCCCTTTCCATAAAGATAAAATTCCCATGCCTTCTTTAAATATTATTTGAAATTTCAAAAGCTTTTTTTTTAATCTCTAAATATAGAATTCTCTGATACTGCATGCTTTTTAGTATGGTACAGTAGCAGACAATTTTACATTTAGAGATAAAAAAAAGCTTTTTAAAGGAGCTCTGGTGGTATAGTGGATAAGACATTTAGCTGCTAACCAGAAGGTCAGCAGTTCAAACCCATCAGCTGCTCTGTGGAAGGAAGATGGGGTGAGCTACTTCCATAAAGATTGATAGTCTCAGAAACCCAATAGGGGTCACTATGAGTCAGAATCAACTTGACGGCAGTGAGTTAGAGTTAAGTATGCTTTTTATTGTTGAAAAAATTTATAATACATTTGTCAATTTAATGTTTTTCGTGTGTATAAGTTAGTGACATCGATTACATTAATCATGTTGTACAACCATTACCAATATCCACTGCCACGTTTTCCATCACCATAAACAGAAACTCAATACTTCCTAAACAATGACTCCCCTTTTCCTCTTTCTTCTCTTCCTGCCCCCCCACCATAACCACTAATAAACTATGGTCTCCATATATTTGCCTATTCTACTTATTTCATGTAAGTGAGATAATATAATATTTGTCCTTTTGTGGTTGACTTACTTCACTCAGCATGTTTTCAAAGTTTATCCATACAGTAGCATGTATCAGGAATTCGTTTCTCTTTATATTTGTTTGAGTAATATTCCATTCCATTTTTAACTAGACAGTGATATGATCTGCTATGTTGGGAATGACAAATTGAAAAGGAATGATTTTACATTCATTGTCAAAAAGAACATTGTAAGATCTATTCTGAAGTACAATGAGGTCAGCAATAGAATAATATTCACATAATTTCAAGGAACACTAGTTAATATGACTATTATTCAAATTTACACACCTATCACTAATGCCAAAAGGAAGAAACTGAAGATTTTTACCAACTTCTGCAGTCTAAAATTGATGAAGCATGTAATCAAGATGCACTAATAATTACTAGCGATTGGAAACAAATTGTTGTTGTTATTGTTGTTGTTGTTATGTGCTGTTGAGTCAGACCCGACTCATAGCGACCCCTCCTTGGGTTTCTGAGGCAGTATCACTACGGAAGTAGAGTGCCTCATCTTCCTTCTGAGGAGTGGCTGGTGGGTTTGAACTGCCAGCCTTCTGGTTAGCAGTCCAGTGCCTTAGGCACTATGCTACCAGAGCTCCTTGGAAACAAATTAGGAGGATCCAAAAAAAAACCAAACTCACTGCCGTCAAGTCTGATCTGACTCATAGCGACCTCTCCTTGGGTTTCCAAGGTAGCATAGTGCCTAAGGCACTTGACTGCTCACCAGAAGGCTGGCAGTTCAAACCCACCAGCCACTCCTCGGAAGGAAGGTTGGGCAATCCTACGTGCATAGTGATACTGCCTCGGAAACCCAAGGAGGGGTCGCTATGAGTCGGGGCCGACTTGACGGCAAAACAACAACAAT